AAAATTCCAGTAGAATTCCACTCCCCCCCCCCTCTTATTGGATCAAAGGACAGAATCAGAATCAGAATAGAGCGGGAAGGGACCTTGGAGGTCTTCTAGTCCATCCCCCTGCTCAAGCAGGAGACCCTAATATCATTTCAGACAAATGGTTATCCAATCTCTTCTTAAAAACTTCCAGTGTTGGAGCACCCACGACTTCTGGTGGCAAGCAGTTCCTCGGATTAATTTCCAGAATGACAGAGTTGGAAGGGGCCTTGGAGGTCTTCTAGTCCACCCCCTCCCCTTTTCAATCCAGGAGATCCTTTACCTTTCAGACAAGCGGTTCTCCAGTCTCTTCTTAAAAACCTCCAGGGTTGGAGGCCCACAACTTCTGGTGGCAAGCTCTTCCACTGGTTAATTTTTCTCATTGTAAGGAAGTGTCTCCTTAATTCTAGGCTGCTTATCTCCTTAATTAGTTTCCATCCGTTGTTTTTTTGTCTTGCCTTTTGGTGCTTTGGAAAAATAAGTTCACCCCCTCTTCTTTGTGGTAGCCCCTCAAATACTGGGATGCTGCTATCATGTCCCCCCTAGTCCTTCTTTTCCTTGGACTAGCCAAACCCAAATCCCGCAGACGTTCTTCGTATGTTTTAGTCTCCGGACCTTTGATCATCTTAGTTGCTCTTCTCTGCGCTTTATCCAAAGTCTCAACGTTCTTTTTGGGATGTGGTGACCACAACTGGATGCTGTATTTCAGGTGTGGCCTGACTAAGGCTTTATAAAGCAGTACTAACACTTCTTGGGTCCAGCAATTCTGTCGAATCTGGAAATGATTCTACAATACATACAAGTCATCCTCGGCTTCCAACTACAACGGAGCCCATTGCTAAGCGAGACGTTAAGTGAATTTGCCCCCATTTGATGACCTTCCTTGATGCAGCTGCGAAGTGAATCACTGCGATTGGTAAGTCAGTCACACGGTCGTTAAGCAAACCCGGTTTCCCCATTGACTTTGCTTGTCAGAAGGTTTTGAAAAAGGGATCGGCGTGACCTCGGGACACTGCAACCGTCGTAAAGCCAGTTGCCAAGCATCTGAATTTTGATTACATGACTGGGGGAGGGATGTGGCAACTCTCATGTGAAAACTGTCATCGGTCACTTTTGGTAACTTCAGATGGTTACTTAATTAAGGGTTGTAAGTCAAGGACTACTAGTTTCTGGCCTTAATCGTAAATAACAGCCTAGCTCCATTTAAGGTGAGATTCTAGCGTGCTGGAAATCCAAAAGGAACATATTCCTCTTTATAATTTCTTCACTATCATCTAGCACAGTGGTCGCCAACCGGTGGGCTGGGGACCACTGGTGGTCTGCGAGAAAACGTTGCTGGTCCACAGAGAAATGTCCCCCCCAAAGCAATTAATCCAGGCTGCGCGGGAACACAAGGCTGCCCCACCCACATGGCCTGCGGGAACACAAGGCTTGTGCCGCTTGCATTGCGAACAACATGAGGTAGTGAGGGGAGGGAGGAAAGGGTAGAGGGGGAAACTTGCCCCACTCACCCCACGCGCCTGGCCTGGCCACCGGGCTGCATCTTTCCGCTTCTTCCTTCTTCTGCTTTTGGCTGCATGCAAGGAAAGTAGCCAAAGTCTTTCTTTCTCTCCCCCAAACTCTGCCAGAAATGAGTCTTTGGGATCCTGCAAGGCCTCCTGCTCCGAGACGCTGCGCCGGCAAAGACTCCTTTCTGGCGGAGTTTGGGGGAGAGGAAGAAAGACTTCTGCTGCTTCTGCTGTTTTGCTTGCATGAAGCCAAAAGTCTCTCTCTCTCTCTCTCTCTCTCTCTCCCCCTGAGAATGGAGCTGGAGACGGTATCCTGCGATCCCAAATAAAGAACAATTGATCGGTAGGAAAACGGGGTGGGGGATTTTCCTGCAGACATTTTTGGGGATTTTCGCAAGCTCTCTGATCCGCGGGATTTAAAATTATGAGTTTGGTCGTCCCTGAGGTTCAAAAGGTTGGCGACCCCTGATCTAGCATGATTGAGAGCAAAAGAAGAAGGGGACGACAGAGAAAGAGGCGGCTGAATTGAGTCACTGAAGCAGTCGCAGGAGCTCAAATGGACTCTGGGGCTGTGGGATTCAATCGGTGTAAAAACCGATCTGCCGAGCGCGTACGCACAACGTTTCAAAAACCCCTTATTTTCAACTCTAAAACTTGCTTTCTGTAGCAGCCCCAGTGAGTAACATAGCTGAGGCATGCCAGTGCGCTGTGCCGCTCGAATCAGCTAAGCTGCAAAACATGGAAATATAGGACAGACTAGGGCAGGGGTGGGTGAACGGAGCCAACTAATCGCTGGAATTACGAGTTCGTCTGAACCAGTTCAAACCTGCTGAATCCTACTCCTGCTCCGGGGGATGGTAGAAGACAGGAAGGCCTGAAGGAACGTTGCCCATGGGGGTTGCGATGGGTGAGACACAACTTCACAACTAACAGCAGCAACAATCATCTACAAAAATATTCCTCACCTGTAGAAATATTTTCTGTGGCAGATGACCGATGAACCATTATAGCACTGATGGTGAACCTTTTTGTTGTGGTGTGCTGAAAGCGTGAGCGTGCCAGCACCCACAGTGCAATGCGCCTCCCTGCCCCTTACCTGTACTGCGCATGCGCATGCCTCCCAGCTGATTTTCAGCCCGTTTGAGGCGATTTTAATCCTTCCGGGAAGCCTCTGCGGCCTCGGCAGGCTGAAAAATGGGCCTTCTGGAAATACTGGAAGTGTCCGTTTTCAGCCTCTGGAGGACTTTTGGAGCCCAGTGGAAGCTGTGTTCACCCCCCCGCCAAAGGTTCGAGGGAAGCCTCTGCAGCCTCGGGAGGCCGAAAAACAGGCTCGTTTCAGCACTTCCGGTATTTCCAGAAGGCCCATTTTTCGGCTGCCTGAGGCTGCAGAGGCTCCCCTTGAGCCTCCGAGAGGGCGAAAACGGCCTCAAATGGGCCGAAAATCAGCTGAGAGGCGCACACATGCGCAGTGCAGTTAAGTTTGGCTGGGGGTCGTGTGCCGACACAAACGGCTCTGTGTGACCCCTGTGGCACGCGTGCCATAGGTTCGCCATCACGGCGTTGTGGCAAGGATATTTGTCAAAAAAAGGTTTCTCTGGTATGTTGATTGTGATTGTCATAGCCACTATCTGGAATTTTATGGACAGGTTGTGCTAAGGAATCCTTTAAAAAAAAAAAAAGGTGTAATGTAGGACAACCAGAACATTAAAGAAAATTATTTTCTCCTGAGCAAATGGTTGTTATCAACCACAAATTGCCAAGCAGATAAGAGGCACATCTCTTGCTGAGAAACAATGTTCCATTTCTGGGAAGTGTTGTCTTGCTAATTTGCTGGAGTTATTTAAAAGCACCACGAAATCTATCATCAGAGAGAACTTTCCAGGAGAAGGTCTTTAATTTCTAAAAGCTTTTGACTACACCCTTCACCAAAGTCCCTGGATACATTTTACAGTTATGGAAGAAATGAAAAATTCTAGCTGGATGAATGGACCCCAAATGTACTTTTTTTAAAAAATTCTTTAAATATATCTGTGCTTTGGAGAATAAGTTGACACACACCCTCTTCTTTGTAGTAGCCCCTCAAATATTACTATCATGTCGCCCCATGTCCTTCTTTTCATCAAACTAGACCTTCACAATTCCAGCGACCGTTCTTCACGTGTTTTAGCCTCCAGTCCCCTAATCCTCCTGGTTGCTCTTCTCTGCACTCTTTCTAGAGTCTCAACATCTTTTTTTATATTGTGGCCACCAAAACTGGATGCAGTATTCCAAGTATGGTCATACCAAGGCATTATAAAGTGGCCTTAACATTTCATATGATCTTGATTCTATCCCTCTATCCATGCAGCCTAGAATCGCACTGTCAGCCTCCAGTGAGAATGAATTTCACTATTAAACTCTGAATTACGTCCAGAAATATTTGTTGTTTCGATCTGGAGAAATTGCTTGAGTGAGAAAAACTTCACAGGCAGCTATCTCTCCATAGATGGAGCTAGTGTAGTATGCATTAACACTTCATGTGATCTTTAAAAAATATTATTATTATTATTCATTAAAAAATCAATGTCTGAATAAACAGTCTGCTGTCTGGATACAATTAACTTTGAGAAATAGTAATAATGACAAAAACAATACTATTCATAACATTAATAACGAACACATCGTAAGAATAGCGTTTGCTTATCCACTTTCGTAAACCTGCCTTACATAATTAGTCATTCTTTTATGCTTTCAAATTTCTAACTTCTGTTTCTGTTAGCCATTGATAAAACAAATCCCAGGTTAAGAAGTGTTCAGTTTCTTCCTTCTCCTTGATTTCAAGTGTTAATCTACCCATTTCTGCCCATTCTAATATTATTTTTTTAAATTACATTTTCATCTGTAGGGATCTCTTCGTTTTCCCACTGGTGTGCAAACTCAGTTCTAGCTGCCGTTAACCTGTGTAAAATTAAACATGTATTCCCTTTATTGTATTTTTGCCTGATAAAATACCCAACAAAATATATATATATATATTGCTGGTTGATTCTTCATTCTGTCCCTTTGTTAATGTGGGTTGACTTTTATCCTAGGCTATCCTAGGTTATCCTGGGTCCGAGACCAGGTGGAGCTCTCCCTTCACGATCAGGAGGCTGTGGAGTTCGATCCTAGGTAGAAGCAGGGGGTTGGACTAGATGAACTCCAAGGTCCCTTCCAACTCGGTTATTCTGTGACCTTCAACCGGCTTAGGAAGGTTGGGAATTAAATTTGGGAACCGTCCAAATGCCCTGCTTGAACCAGGCAGTGACTTCAGTGTGAGTGTGTGTGTGTGTGTGTGTGTGTGTGTGAGAGAGAGAGAGAGACGTTGCTGACAAGAAGAGGAGAAAAAGGAAGAGAAAACCACACACCACTCCGTACAAGGCTGTGCAGTGGGTGTGTCGGGGCGTGGGTGTGCACCAGCGGCAGCCACAGGGCAAAGGAGCACACGGGGGAGGGTGGATCCAGGACATCTCCACCTGCTTATAAGCTGGGGAAGGTCTGGATTCTGAACATGAGCCTCGGAGAGCTGTGGCTGAGAAGTTCAGAACCAGGCATCTGCGAACTCCAGGAGCCATGGGGAGGCAGAAGGAAGTGCTGTCAGTCATTGGATCGAGGCTGCGAATCAGAAATAAGTTGCTCCGGCAGGCCCTGGCCGAATGCCTGGGCACCCTGATCTTGGTGGTACGTAAATGGACGGGGGGCTGGGTAGGGAAGAAAGTGGGGAGAAGGAGGGAGAGAAGCGAGAGGGAGAAAAAGAAGAGAGAAGGAGGAGGAAGGGAACTAGAAGGAGAAAAAGAAGAGAAAGGGAGGAGGAGGAGAAAAAGAAGAGGAAGGGAGGAAGGGAACAAGAAGGAGAAAAAGAAGAGAAAAGGGAGGAGGA